CTCTACAAATTAGGTAAGGTGAGTCTAGAGCGTTTTCACGAAAGTGACCTTCTTCAGCACTAGGTTTACAGAGTATAGATTCCAGAAATGGGCGGGTTTTTGTGTGAAGGTGTGGAAATTTACCAATCTCCCATAGTTTTTTGAGTGTGCGCTAATAATGATGGCATAACTGTCAATCAAAAGCGCATTTTTTACCAAAAAACATAAACATATAACAACGACAAGGACGCTCAAATAGACGCGTTCGCTCACGTTCCCGTTAGTGCTGATAACGATGTCAATCCACAGCACATTTTTTACTATTAACTTGCTCCACCTCGCTCTTATTAGGTCATCCCGAAAGTTTTTGCGCACGATTTTCGAAAATTCATAATTTCTGATTCTTCCAATCGATTTGACTGATTTCCCTTTATGTGAAAGGGTAGTTCATGCTCTTTATAATGACATCTCAGCTGCTAAGTAATGGTCATCTGTTGCATAGATAGGAGCGATAGAAGAAAAATGGTAAAAATTTTAATTTTCTGTGTAGGGTCATAAGCAATCGGAGACTTGCAACAAAAATCGGAGCAGTCAGTACTGTAGGTTCTTTCACCAGCTCTTTCTAACAGTGCAAAGTTTGCGCCGATTGAGCGTCTACATGAAAAGTTATGATTTCCCTGAAAAATGGCAAAATAAATCAAATTCGCCTTCTTGTATTGCTTGCTCGAAAATCATAACTTTTCATGGAGACGCTCAATCGGAGCAAACTTTGCACTTTTAGAAAGAGCTAGTGAAAGAACCTACAATACTGACTGCTCCGATTTTTGTTGCAAGTTTCTGATTTTTTATGACCCTACACAAAAATTCAAATTTTAAGTGATTTTGGTTTTGAGCTTCTATCTATGCAACAGATGATCATTACTAAGCAGATGAGATGTCATTATAAAGACCATGACTTACGCTTTCACATAAAAGTGAAAGCAGTCAGATCGGTTGGAAAAATCAGAAGTTACGAATTTTTGAAAATCGTGCGCAAAAACTTTCGGGACGACCTGTACAATGTGTTGGCTATTATGGGTCATGGAAGCAAATGATTTTTAGAACCGGGAAGCAAAGAAACCCTAACATGCTGTATACCATTCGAAAGCTGAGATCATGGAGAATTGACGTAGACCGTCGAATTTTTCTAGGTCTTCTGTGCCGCGAGATATGAGGGATTTTAAGTGCTTCAAAAATTAACTAATTTTGTGTCCTCACTTTCTGCTCTCCAAAATGCTACGAGGATAAATAAATAATATAAATAAACATAAATACCGCTTCTTTAGTAAATTTATGAGTGTACTTGTTGTTTGAGATACTTAGCCTGCAAAACCTTTTAATAACGATTTTTATCATATTCTCAGAGTACAATACCAATCTCAGCCCAGGTGAAGGGGGTCATCGGGAGTTTGGCCTCAAAGTGAAGGGGGTAAGATCCATCACTCCCCCTATCGCAACTATGGGACTGACGTATATCAGGGGCATGGCATGACGTACTTGCGATGAATTGCTTTTTATGTATCCGCATGATATTTGCACAAGAAACTTCTTGCCTTTAGGGTTCAAAACGGTGCAGTTACTGATTTCGAAACGGTTTTGTCTACTTGGTCGACATCTTAGGCTCTAAGGATTTCAATCTGACGAATTAATTGTTTTTACGTTTCATTTTAGATCCGTAGCATTCATTCTCCAATAATAAAATCTGCCTGTCTAAAGATGTTTTTCCTTGTTCAGGCGCCTAGCAATATCGTGACAATTGGTTCCTGATTTTTTATTATTTTGATTTCTCAGCCAAGATCGGGAAATTTTTATCTGCTTTTTAATGGTGCAACATCGATTTTGGGGGTGCGCAAGAGTTCAATTATTTTCGCCTCATACTTTGGTATCTCTCCACTTTATTTGAATTGATATTTGGAAAATGTTCGTAGAGCTTTTTATACCAAACATAAGCATGTGATGGCAGATTAAGCCAAAATATACCAATTTTCTGCTTTCAAAATAAACTTCCTAGTATTACATGCCGCTTAAGCTCATATGATGTTGATGGAAAAGGAAGAGTAAAGGAGTCAAGAATTTGGTGGGCCAGCAGCAGTTATTTGATTTTTGCATTCAAAAGCCAACTCTTTCGTCGCGATGAAGACCTCGCCCGATTTTATCTTAGGCAACAAAATTTAGTACCTGAAATACAGGATTAGCGGTTAAGAAGTATCAATTTCGAGGATTAGCCGCTTTGAACATCAGCGTCTTTCTTTTATACAGATTCGAAGACCGCGAACGAAGTGGTTCTGAATAGCAACTTCGACTTTGTGATTTCAACAGTGCTACTGAGTTCATAATGCTGCGAAAGAGTATAAATGCTGTGTATGACTACCTTCGGCTCAACAGAATAAAAATTTTGGGCTTACTAAAATCCATGAAGTTTGTAAGAGTATAGACAGAAATTTTGTGCTAGGTTCGTTCAACCCCTAAGACGGTCGTCGATTTCAACCAAATTTCACAAAATTGCTACAGTGACCTAAACTACGTTATTGGATTGATCATGCAAAAAACCAGCTTATAAAGGTCTATAGATCTCTAAAGGTATCCTCTAAAGGTAAGGTCGTCTAACCTTGCCTCCAGCTAAGGTTAGAAGTTGCATTGAGAATTTACCTCAAGGTAAATGCAGTCCGTTTGATGAATACCGATTTTGAGTGATAACAGTACCTTGAGGTAAAATTCACCTCAAGGTACTTTCCATTCGATACTAAGCACCCTGAGGTAAATTTTCAAGGTACAATTTACCTTGAGAATTTACCTCAAAGTACTTTTGTGAATACGGGTATTTGCTGATAATGAGTGATAAAACCACCTGGAGGTAGAATTTATCTCAAGGTATCAATAATGAATACGGCCACAGATCACTGCAGAGAAATATTATACATTTTCTAGAAAGTGGCCATTCTTTGCATCCTACACGTCTTGGAAGATCCAGAAACTAGGTATATTTTGTAAAAGGTTGAAGTGAAGGCATTAGTTAGCTTGGAAAGACGTGATGATATTAAAACTAGGAAAGTCGGAACTAAAGGTGAGAGCTTTGTTTTGCATGATGCATAAAAAGAGCATTTGTGGTTTCTGAAGCCAACGAGCATTTGATGAGATGTGCGGCTAGATCACGCCAAAGTACTAGTTATTTTGCGGAAATGTTTTTTAGATTTGTTACTTCGTATCAATTAACCTGGGAATATTTAACACCCAAACCGGTGGTGCATCATTGAGTTTCTAGCGGTCCTGTTCCTAAATGTACAGTCTTGATGTCCAACAAGCTGTAGTCCCGTTAGAATCAGCAGACCTCCACGGACTGCTGGTGCAGTCAAAAGGAGATTGACTCTTTGTAGGATATAGTGCTGTCATTTTCTGCAATGTCACACGGAAATACTTTTTCAAGTTCCTCAAAATCGCAATGTGCTGAGTCTTATCTCTAGGGTAAAGGGACATAACTTCTTCTTTGAACCTTATCCAAATTCTTCACTCTGGCAAAGAAACACGACGGGCGAAAACGAGTGCGATACAAAAATCTCATCATAAACAATATTTTTGCTTTTGCTTTTCTATTTGATATTTCCAATCGATTTACGGTCTGTGCACATTCCACAATTCAAGTGAGCAATATCCATTCTTAAGCCTTATTTTGCACTCCAGTCAGTTCTTGTGCACTGCACGAGACTAACAGTGTCGCGGATTCGCGACTTCCTTCAAAGGTTGCCGCCGCCGCGCTGCGAAGGGGTCCCAAAACGCCGTCCTCGCGCTGTCCCGCCTCTCACCTCTCTCACCTGCGCAGCGTTTAAATAAGTCACGTAGTCATTCTTCGCTGCTGTCGCCATCGTGAGCGGTTGGGTTCCATTCGTCTCAAGCCATCGATCGATCAGCGCTACCCCATCTCACGCGTCGCTTCCATCAACGCAACGGAGGACTGGCTCCCACGCTACGAGGTAACCCCGAGCGCGCTCGCGCCTGGCACACGCCGGCGACACCGCCTTGGGGGGTTTCCAATATTGCCGACCCCTAGGCTAACATCTGGTCGGTTGTGCTCATCCTGGATGTTTGAGTGTAGGGATAAGTTGCGGATAAATGGTGGGCATTGTACAAGTGTGATGTGTGTTGGAGCGGTGACCACAGCTCGGCTGTGGCCCCGGGTATATCTGTGTCATCTTTATTCATGTGTATTTCGTAATCAAGCTTAGTGGGTAACATCTGTAGGAAGGCTGGCACAATACTAGTTAAGTGCCACGGTTATGAGTACACGCCCCAGCTGTCGATGGTTGGAGGCATAGTCGAGTCCCAAGTGACGAGTTGCTACTAAGCAGGCTGGTGGCAAGGGCCCCTAAGTGTGTATGGAGTTCCCATGTGGCAGGCACAAAGAGCAATTACACAGGTAGCCACCTCACACGTTACGTTCCATTATTTCACGATGCGGACCCCTGGCTCCCCTCGCCGATGCAGGAGAGCCGTAATACCACTGACGTTGGAAGCTGGGGGTCCAATCCGCGACAAACAGTAGTGGCACCATACTTAACAATCTTATAAACAATGATGAGATGATTGATTTTAAAAAAATCAGAACTCTTGTTGTCTATAGGGATGCAGTCTCAGTGACAGAACTTTACATAATAAATCTTACTCTATCCTATCTCTAATGGAAATTTCTGGGGCAGTAAAAATTGCTGATACTCTGCTTGTCAAATAAGTTCACATGAGCCAACCTCTATATATCCTACATAGCTGAAGCATTGTCCTGTAAACATTCGCCTTCAAGCATCATTATCTCAAAGACGTTTTATCACTTCGCGAACTTCGATTTAAAACTACTTTTCAACATTCAATTGTTTTCAAGAAAAGGAGTTTACAAAAACATCTGCCTGCAAGTTCGTGCACTGCATAATAACATCTATTGAAACTCTGAACAGCTAGTCGCTATGAAAGCAAAAACTTTTGGAAGATCAACTGCCGTATAAGATTTATTTTAGAAAAGAATTATAGAAAAGAATGCCTAAAAACCCAACTAGGCCCTCAGATTGATCACCGAACACAATCACTCTTCTGATCCACACAATCCTAGACCAGTATCGCATGGCTCAAGTTTATTACATCCAGAGCATGGCGTGCCAGTTTCGTACATCTTAGTGTTAACTTTGTTCCCGCTGAACCAGAATCGCTTATGTTCGAATAGAATTCATACTCCGAATCTTACGGCGGATAATAACGGCACGCTTCCACCCAGTCCTCGCCACACTTAGCGATAGAGCAGCCCATTTCCCTAGTCGAGGCCCAGCCCATCTTAAAAAACACGTTAGAGTATACAGGGTGTCCCAAAAAATGTCCACATGTTTGCGTTAGTAGCTTTCTTGCTTTGCTTTTGTCTTTCGCCGACCTTTAGGTACCATTCTGTACAGCAAGGTTCAACTTAGACTTACAATATGAAGCGACTTACCATTTCCTTTCGTTACTGTATTATTACGGTAAGAACTTCCAGCATATGGAACCTTTGCGAAAAATGCCATCTGACAAAATTTTTTCCAAAAAAGTTTGAAGAATCGTGTACTAGGGTTTTCGCGCATGCTGATTCCTCTACACAACTTGCGAGTGTTTTCAGCTATTTCGACGGTGTAATCACATTTATGACAAATGCTGGAAACTCAGTTATTTCGGTTTACCCGGGGTTACTTATAAAAAGTTTAGGAAAGATTTGTTAGGAGAGAAGCATCACAAAGTGAAAGTTTATACCATAGCAGAGTTTTTGACTTGTTAGGTTTTGTTCCGAGGCGATTATGCCTCCAGTGGCCTAGAATCTTTGTCAAAATTCCTGTCGTAATCATACAGTAATGAAAAGCGACCGATGATTCGCTTTATACCGTAGATGTAAGTTGAACCTCGCTCCAAAGAATGGTGCCTGAACGTCCTAAACACGTCAAGGCAAGGAATATTGACGATCAAACAGTGTGCACATTTTGAGACATCTTACGTAACCCTGATTTCACGAGTACAAGACACATCTTTTTCTATTTTATGCAAGTAGCTCAGCCACTTCACGTCTCAAGACGCCTACACAGCACGCTTCTCACAGTTACATAATAAGCAGCATGTTATAGGGTCCTTTGGTTGCCAAATCGTTTGACATGTTCGAGTTGACCAAATTTTGCCAAAAAACCGTGCGCGTTGTACTCGTGAAATCAGGGTAGGTTGGTGCGAAAGTTTTTTTGAAAGTGAAACTGATTTCTTCAACATGCACTAAGATGACTATTGGTGTTGAAAATTCCTCTTTTCTATGTAAATCCTCGCTAATTTTTAGAAACGTTTGTTTGAGACTTTTAGAAAAGCTCTGGTAGCCAGCAGATAGAGCATATTTTTTTGCAGTGCAATGTCGAATGCATTCTTTGAAGTGACCATTTCAAATATGGTCAACTGAATCCTCGTGTGAACACTGAACAATTTAGGTGTCAATTTATGCAGCTTTTTCTCCTTTTTCTAACAACTTTCTTGCGAAAGTTGCAGAGAAATCGTCGTTTTTATTTTTGGAATGCGCGTTTTCGTACGACATTCCAAAACTTATTTTTGAGAAGATAATTGCTGATTTTTTGTATACGAATCATTTCATATGATTATGTGTGTCACTGCACACACGGTCCACCTTTGGCGCTCCCATTTTGGATTCTTGGAGCTGACAACCCTTCAGGTAAGTGTGCTCAATGTGTTTCCAATGTTTTCTACTCATTCTAGATACTAATCAACACATGAGCATATAAAATGATTCGACTGTAAGGCTAGCCATTGATAGAATTAAGTTTTGACACCTCAGAACTAGAGATATTTTAGTATTTGTTTGGTGCATTTATATGTTGTGCAACTTTTTTACTAAAAATTTTGGAGAATTAATTTGAGAAACTTGAAAAGGCAGCCGAGAACAAACAAAAAGCTGGTTCAGTTCAAAAGGCTTGGGCTATCTATTGATTCAACAAAGGTTTTTCAAAGATCTTGAATGAAGAAAATGAACTGATTCCAACTGAAATTGAAATTTGAAATTTTGCCAAGGATAGACAAGGTTAAGGCGACAGGTTGGAAGGTTGTAAGTCCCGTCGATTATCTCAGCATACGTTAGAGGAAATAGTACATCTTATGAGAAGAAGAAGATTTACTGCATGACATTTAGCCCTAAGGTAACTGTTCATCTTTACGGGATTTACGGACGGGTTCATAACACGAAAAGAACATTTACGCCGATTTGTACTTGAAATTTACGTTGTTGAAGAACTTCATAGTTTTGCTTTCAGTACATGAACTTACCAGGGTATATGATCTTATGGCAGTCCTTTTGTGTTTGGAACGAAAATAGTTATTTGCACCAAGACTTTTGACCTTTCGCACCGGTTTCCACCATTCGGTGACCGTCTGAAGAACATACTATTCAACTTCTTTAATCTCTTTTTGGTAACTTACCTTCTCATTCATGTCCCTATAAGTTGATAGACCAGCTATAGGGGCGCGATAGAAATTCTGCGCTGGGCTGCTGTCATTGTCAGGTCTTTGATACCCTTTCTCAGGACAGCTTCTGAGGAAATCGTGAGCCTCTCTCCTCCAATGCGCAATCCCAAACCTGTCAGTTTTAATACTTACGAGGAAATGATCAGAACTTAATCCAGCCATTCCAAACAAGCTGTATATCATCGAACTCGTCTTAAAACGCTGAATTCAATTATACGTTTTTTTTATCTGCCAGGCGACCACCTGGGAGGAGTTATGAGCGTTCAAATATGAGAAATTCGTCGAGTTTCGACGAATATGTTCCAAGGCTGCCTGATGTTGCGGGTTTATAGTGGCTATCGTTGTTTTGATTACAAGGAAAAAGGAAAAAAACTTTTACTAAAAACTGAATAAATGCTATCTAAACCTATTTCATGGAACATGCGCCACAGAACACTTGATAAATCGCATGTTTCAACGCTCATAATTCCTCCCAGATATGCGCTTGACAGATAATAAACATATAGGCCCTTAGCAGACCCCCCATCAGGGCAGCTCCCTTGAGGCGGACAACAGTTGATTTCATCGCGCCTCAGTCTAGCATCCGGTGAGCTATTGATCTGGATGCGGATCGCTTCCTAGACATTATAATCAAGTGTGTTCTTGAAAAAATGAACATTCGAGCCAGTTTGGTCAAAAGCATAAGCGATTGGATTTACACGCGGGTGGACGTGGTTCGACTCCGTCTAGCGGTACGACTTTTGCTGCATCGCCGGGCAGTTTTTGATAGCGGCCACTATCGCAATCGATGATGACCGCTATCAAGGATTTCGCCTAGCAAATGCACGGATAAAACAAAAACACATTTTGTGAAAAAAAATTTTACGAAAAAACGAAGTGGTTGCAGCATGAATTTGATGAAATGAACAAATGAGTTCTCGTTTTGGACAGCTATGAAAAATCACTAAAGTTTAAAAAAAGAAAAAGATTCGTTTTTTTTTGTTCTCCTCGCCAAAATCAGCTGTTCGTCGATCCTCTTGTTTTCGGGCGCGGTTTTGCAGTTTTACGCCGATTTTGTCTGCAGTGTAGGCAAATTGGTGTGCATCGTAAGTTACTCAGGAGCAACTTACCGGAGTCTTGTCTGCGTCTCTTCTTTTACACACTATTTGCATCCGTCTAACATCAGTTCACGTTCAGTTTAACTGAACGTGGACTGATGTGCAAGAGTTGACTGCAGCAGGTGGACGGATGATCAACTATCAGTTCACTCACCATGCATATAGCATAGGAAGGTGGGCGGTCATCAGTTCACCTCACCTAAGCTCAACTGATGGGTAAAGTTCACTTCACCTGAACTGATCGAGCTTTACTACGGGCCATATTTGTGATCGGCTATCAAGACGAGTCCGATGATATACAGCATGTTTGGTATAGCTGAGTCAAGTCTGACAGGGGAGTCGCAAAATCATGATAATCGCTACACAAAAGTGTGCAAGCTCAAGCAAACCACTTATTGAGCATTGTAGGTCTAATTCGAGTTCATCCTAACGTTTTCGAGTGTTTTCCGACCATGTTGTTTATCCACAGATCGCCAATTCCTTCCTAGATCACACTTCCATTATATATACAAAAAAGCCTATAACCTCCTAGAAGAACGCGTCGCGTATATTGAAGATATATTTGAGAACATCGTTTTACGTTCCATCCATTTGTAGTTTCCATAAATGGAGGTTATGGGGTTTTTTTGTACACATAATGGAAGTGTGATCTAGGAATGAAATGACGACCTGTGGATGATCAACATGGTCGATAAACACTCAGAAGCGTTCGGATAATTTGACTTAGACCTACAATGCTTGCTAGGTGGTTTACTTAAAGGCAGTGTCCAGCCAAATCTAAGCATACGGGTTTTTTGCCTGGGAATTGATGAGGAGTTTCTAGCTAAGGCACTGGTCAAACCGCAGCGCCAATTGTTTATTCACGGTTGAGAATTTCGTCCCCGCGGCTGCGCCGTGACCGTAACACTTAGGATGGGTCCCAGCGCGGACGTAGTGTTGAAGCGAGAGAAGTGGTTTTCGGGTTACGGCGCAGGCCCGGGGTTTTCGAAGAGGATTTCTCAGCCGTGAATGATCAATATGCGCTGCCCCTCGAGCAGTGCCTTAGTTAAGACCCCCTCATCAATTCTCAGGCGAAATACCGGCGCGTTCCGATTTGCCTGGATACTGCCTTTTAGCTTGCACAATTTTGTATAGAGATTAACTTCATTTTGCGACTCAAAATGCACGAAAAGTTGGCTTAAAAGCTCGTAACTTTTTTAAGAACAATGCATCGCAGATATAGAAGGTATATCTGAGGTCAGTTTTTTGAGCTTTATCCACTTATAGATCTTCTTCCGAATCGCCACTTTGACTAAGTGAATTTCCCTTGTGAGTATTCCCTGCTTAGTGTTAGATCGGAAATATAACATCTCATAAAAACTGACCAGGTAATTGATGTTGCTCGCCGTCGGTAAAGTTCTCCTTTTATTTATCTTAACTTGCCCCAAGGCGAGCTGCGAGCTAAATCCAACGTTACACTAGGGTGTTTAGAAAAATGTGTTACTTTAATAGGTAGAATTCAAATTAAAGCACAAACGCACCGTAGGCGATTGTGAATTTTTTGCATACGCATTCTCATGGTGTCGGAAATTTCTTGAGACGTACATTTGGTGCTCGGCTCTGAAAAGGGATATAATCAGTAGAAGTTTGCAATAATGTAATTTTGCTTTTATTTGTGTCAAGTCAGTTGCACTTATTCTGAGTATGGGCTGCAGATAAGAATCAATCTAAAACTTTTTTTTTGTTTTGAAGGAGGGGTGGGGGGGGGGGGGAGGGGAGAGAAATACGTTGTTCGCAATTTTTATCGGGTTCCACTTCACTATATCAAAGGTCGTAGCAGAGCTAACAAATCTAAAAGGTGTGCCAAAAGCTTGTATGCCCTTTCAATCGCCAATAGCTCTCTTCCCACAATGTGTTATGTCTGACTTCAAGCACCATTCGGTGCAGCAGGCTTCAGCTCACAAGGGATGCATGTTTAGTCGAAGCGGTCTTTTTAGATGGGATGTATACCATATTAAAGGGGATAAATTTTTGATTCTAAATCTGCCTTCTTTATCTGCAGAACATTTATAGACGAGGATTTATGAGCGCATATTGAAGCAAATAATTGAATGTGCAAGTAGGTTAAAATTCCGTAATACTTTTTCTAGCTCTTTGATGGAGCAGTGATGATCATCAAAGTACTTTCTTCAAAAATACTCTGAAATAAAAAATATAGCACACTTACATAGTTGCGTTATTTGAGCGCTAGTGGCAGGGCGAGGTGGCTTTATTAATTTCTTATAAACGAAGTCCACATAGATTTTGCCACAAAAATACAACATCACCTGTGGCGTGATGATGAAGATTAAAACGAGGAACGAAAAATAATGGAACAAAAAATAAAAACAACATTGAGCAGGCGAAAAAGAATCAAAGATGTTCGTATTATCCGTGTTGGCGGCATGCTGTGTTCGACGCACATCCTTGTGCGCTTCGAGCAGGCTTGCCGCCGCCGTACAAAACATTTGGAGGGTTGTAACTAGGCGAGGAAGAGCAGGTTTAGGATTTTCAAAAACTCAGCTGTAGGGTTTTTGATATAGAACAAAATTATGTTAACCATGTGAAAAAATTATGTGATGGAAGGAAAATCTATGACTTTTTCTCTTCAAAGCCAACTCAGGTGGCTGTCCAGATGGCTGAAAACCACCTAAGTTCGAAAAAAGTTTGCCACGTCTTCATGCATAATTTTTCCTTGAGTTTTCGCACGTAGTCCTAACTCCCTATTGCCCATCTACACACCAATTTTGGTGTCATTTCATTTTCTCCTCGTTGTAAACAAGTGTTTTGTTTATTTCGGGGCAGGTTTGAATTCGCTTAAGCGGCGAACCTGTTATAACAGGAAATTTAGTTTTTCCAGATCGATAGGGCGGAAATAACAATTTTCGTCTTCTATAGAAGATGGGTGACGTAAAGGCAGAAGGCGATTGTGTGTGTGGGGATGGGGGCTGGGGTCTCCGCTTCAACGATATCCTCCTTGCTTTTTATTTTAAAACAATATCCAGCTTGCCCCGTAATCCACCTGTGCCGAGCCCTGCCCTGGCCTCGGACAAGTTAGTGTCAGGTTTTTTTTCGAAGTTTTTGAGCTTTTCATATTCTTTCGTTATTTACTGCACTGAGCGTAATACTAAAAATAAAATGAAAACAATTTTAACCTTTCGGCTCGCCTTCAAATCCGTAATCTTCGGGTTCCTCCTCATCTTTATCTGAAACAATAATTTTGGATTATGCAAGATTCTAAAGTGGTTTTTTCTCAAGCCAACACCGCCTCTGTGATCAGTTTTTGTCAAATAGCTCGCTACATCCTAGTGGACCTTAGGTCTTGGTTTGCCTATACGTAGAAAGTTTATCTCCCTTGCCTCAAACAAGCTGGTGCCATGTTTTTTTGAAAGTGTTTGAGTTTTTCATTTTCTTTCGTTATTTGTTGCACTGAGCGTATTACTAAAAATAAAATGAAAACAATTTTCAAGCTTTTGGCTGGCCTTCATATTCGTGATCTTCGGGTTCCTCCTCATTTTCATCTGAAAAAATAATTTTGGATTATACAAGATTCTAAAGTGGTTTTTTTCTCAACCCATCACCGCCTCTGTGGTCAGTTTTTGTCAAATAGCTCGCCACATCCTAGTGGGCCTTAGATCTTGGTTTGCCTATACGTACAAAGTTTATCTCCCTTGCCTCGAACAAGCTGGTGCCATGTTTTTTGGATGTGTTTGAGCTTTTCATTTTCTTTCGTTATTTGTTGCACTTACTAAAAATAAAATGAAAACAATTTTTAACTTTTCGGCTCACCTTCATCTTCGTGATCTTCAGGTTCCTCCTCATCTTCATCTGAAAAAATAATTTTGGACTAGCGACCCTACGGGTCGCTAGCAAGTGGGTCAGGGCAAATACAATATAGGGCCTTAGTTGTGACTATAAATGCTTCTTAAGTTTCCTATTCCTTTCCTGAGAAGTTTTTTGCGAAAAGCATTCTACAAAAGGAGAATTGCTCGAAGAAGCGATAATCTCCACAAATCGTTCAGCATTTCTCGAAATTCCTGCTACAACAATGAATGCATGGAGAATATTATTTTCCTCTCGTTTACCACGCTCTTTCTGCAAATTTCCTCTCCTCTCAGAGACATTCAGATAACCTCCCCCCCCCCCTCTTTTCTACCCTCTCAAAGAGAATTTGCTTTTCCAATTCTTCTCAACAAGTTCATAGAAGATCGTTGAGTAAGTAGCAGAACACCTTTAGTTTTGGAAGTAGAAATACACCCATAACAACTATGTGTACTACGAAAAACACTTTTATATCAGAATCAATTCCGACAGCTACGAAATCAACCGTGCAAGGACTTTTTCAGAGAATCCCTCAATTTTTTCGCCAAAGGAATATGAAGTTTTACTCCAAAAGGAGATCACTCCCCGAAAAGCACACTACTGAGCCACCTAAAGACCGTCAATCAACATATAAAAAATTTGTTTCCCTGTCCGATCAAATTGCCCTACGTGCCGCTTACAAACCAATATCATCTATCTGAAAAACAGTTCGTGCCCTACGTGCCGCTTGAAGACCGTTCAAAAATTATAAGAACTGCCCCATACGCACAAAAATCTGTTTCCCTGCCCGATCGAGTTGCCCTACGTGCCGCTTACAGACCGATAGTGACTATTCAAAAACGAAATTTATGCCTGTGCCGCTTGAAGCCCGTATATATAAGAAAAACCAACTACGACCCAAACAAAAAGAAAACAACGAATTCAAGTATTTACAGCGTAATCTCAAATTGCCGTACATGTCACTTTAGGACTTTCAATTCTGAGGACTGCCCCAAACGTACAAAAATCTGTTTCCCTGCCCGATCGAATTGCCCTACGTGCCGTTTACCCACCGATACCTAGTTGAAAGCACCAGCGGGACCCAGTTACACAAGCAAAGCAAGGTTGTTGTTAGATAAACGCTTTCAAAAGTACCAGCAAGGCCAAGTTACTCACGCACTCTCTTGTCTTCACGCAGAAGCAACTAATTCTAAAGTGACTGTTTTAGTTAGAGCATTTTTACCAAGAGTTGAGAACATAGATGAATTTAGCTCAAGTACGCTGTTACGCAATTTGGCATCATTTCAAAAGCAACTAGTAGGAGTACAACATATTTGAAAGACACATTTTCGGATAACAATCTCGAAAAAAAGAGGTACAAATAACACACCCGGACACCGGCAACATATTCTCAAATCATTGCGACACTCATGATCGCCTTTCGAAATACGTGTGACCTTTTTACGGAAATATGCTTGGTCACTCGTTATGAAATTTGGCAGCGTTCCAAAATGCACGCCACTTTGCAGCAATCCAAAGTCAAAGATCAGCATATTTCATCATGATTTCTCCGTCTGCTGCCTCCTCGTTTGCCGTGTTCTACGGATCAGGGGTAATAATGGGTAAACAACGATTCCAAAATATATATCCTAGTGATCATGCAAGATTCTAAAGTGGTTTTTTTTCTCAAGCCAACACCGCCTCTGTGATCAGTTTTTGTCAAATAGCTCGCTACATCCTAGTGGACCTTAGGTCTTGGTTTGCCTATACGTAGAAAGTTTATCTCCCTTGCCTCAAACAAGCTGGTGCCATGTTTTTTTGAAAGTGTTTGAGTTTTTCATTTTCTTTCGTTATTTGTTGCACTGAGCGTATTACTAAACATAAAATGAAAACAATTTTCAAGTTTTTGGCTGGCCTTCATATTCGTGATCTTCGGGTTCCTCATTTTCATCAATAATTTTGGATTATGCATGATTCTAAAGTGGTTTTTTCTCAACCCATCACCGCCGTGGGCCTTTAGATCTTGGTTTGCCTATACGTACAAAGTTCATCCCCTGGCCCAGGGCTCGGCGCGAGGTGGCTTTTTCAATTTCTTGAAAACGAAGTCCACATAGAATTCGCCACAAAAATACTGACGCGATGATGAAGATTAAAACGAGGAACGAAAAATAATGGGACAAAAAATAAAAACAACATTGAACAGACGAAAAAGAATCAAAGATGTTCGTATTATCCGTGTTGGCGGCATGCTGTGTCCGACGCACATCCTTGTGCGCTTCGAGCAGGCTTGCCGCCGCCATACAAAACATTTGGAGGGTTGTAACTAGGCGAGGAAGAGCAGGTTTAGGATTTTCATAAACTCAGCTGTAGGGTTTTTGATATAGAACAAAGTTAATTTAACCATGTGAAAAAATTATGTGGTGGAAGGAAAATCTATGACTTTTTCTTTTCAAAGCCAACTCAGGTGGCTGTCCAGATGGCTGGAAAGCCACCTAAGTTCGAAAAAAGTTTGCCACATCTTCATTTCACATAATTTTTTCATGAATTTTCGCACGTAGTCCTAACTCCCTATTGCCCATCTACACACCAATTTTGGTGTCATTTCATTTTCTCCTCGTTGTAAACAAGTGTTTTGTTTTTTTCGGGGCAGGTTTGAATTCGCTTAAGCGGCGAACCTGTTATAACAGGAAATTTTTAGTTTTTCCATATCGATAAGGCAGAAATGACAGTTTTCGCCTTCTAGAGAAGATGGGTGACATAAAGGCAGAGGGTGATTTTGTGGGGGAGGGGGCTGAGGTTTCCGCTTCAACGATATCACCCTTGCTTTTTATTTCAAAACGATATCCAGCTTGCCCCGTAAGCCGCTGTGCCGAGCCCTGGCTAGTAGAATTTTAGCACCTTATTTCATCCAAAATGCACATTCAATTTTAGCTCCAAAAAACGATCATAACTCCTCGTCCATAAACTCTCTGCAGATAAGAAAGGCAGGTCTGGAATCATTTCGTTTTATGCCCATTAGTATGGTACACATTTCATTTAGAAAAACCATTTCGACTAAAGAAGCTTCCCTTGTTAGACTTACCGGATGAAGCGAGTCATCCCGCTCTTTATTACTGTAATTATGGTAACCTCAAAGAGGGTTTTGAGCTATGGCTACACATTGCCTTAGAATAGATACTCAAAGCCAAAAATTTGATCATCAGGGTAAACTCAGTCGCTTATTATGAATGCGAAATTCAACCTTCACCGTAAGCCTTTTCTCCTAAGGTGCCAAGTATCAACGATTTCTACAGCGTTGTTTTTTACTGATGGGGCTATGCCAAAATCGCCTAAAGAACTGTAAAGGTTGTCAGTGAAATCAGCATTTACGAAAGCACTGCTACACAGCTTTTGAATTTTTGAACTTTTTTTTCAAAAGCCTATTTCACAATGGCGCTGTTTGCTGGAAGTTTCCCACGTGATCTTGCAATAATGGAAAGCGATAAGTGATTTGCAAAACTTTAAATCCAAGTTGAAGCCTGGTATACTGAATGGTACTAGAAGCTAAGCAAAAGACTTTGTGGCAGGAGAGGTTATCGACGATTAAAAGTGTGTACTTACTTTTGGGACATCCTGTGTTTCATAGTCTAGAGCGCCGTCGTCATCAAAAGTGGGGAGTTATTTTAGAGTCTTTTATATAAAACTGAATATCTGTTTGTCTGTCTGTATGCCTTTCTGTACCTGTGTTCCGAACAGAAGATTTTTATCTCTGAACCGTGACCAAACTTTGCACACATACACTTCGGGGCTATTTTTCTCTATTGATCGATATCGAATTCATCGATTTTCGGCAAAGTTTGAGCTACGAGGGTGGGAGTTGGTACAGGGGGATAAGTGAGCATGCTGACTAGTAACACGCAGGAATAGGGAATTGGAATGTAGAAGCCAGCAAGGGGAAAGGCTATACAGAGATAGAAATGGGACCTTCATCACAATGTTTTGAGCCTGGAAAGCCGGGTAAAAGCCAGCTAGTTCAGTATAATATGTACTTTTATGGCCTCTCGATTCTTTAATGTTTTAATCAAGGGATATAGTTTTCAACTAACGCAATAATTCGCTTACCAGCAGTGCTTGGTCCAGGAAATTCTGCTGTCACGCATAGCGATCCCTCACAAGTCATAGGCTCATCGCATTCGCAGTTTTCTCCTGTGCCCACCTCGTAAATTTGTTCTCTAATCTGGATATTCCTAAGAATGGACGGGAGAAATTTCAGTGCTTTCTGTTCTGCTGCATCACTTTTTATAACGCTTATTTCTGTGTGCGCATCCGAAAAAGACATGGAAAACTCACTAGGGACCGCATGCATTAACATCCCCGCTAAGGAGGGGATCGCAGCTTAGAAAGAAAGCTTCATATCCTGAAATTTTGAACTTCTGTAACTCACACTGTCTACCCACCCGTAAGTATTCCTACCATCCTTTATTATGAACATATTGAACAGGAGCGAGAAGCTGTACAACCCGCATTTTTAGCATTTTGTATGACTCCCTGATGATCCCTGCGGCCGATCGTCTTTTCTTTAAGGTTTCTTCCTCCAAAGTCAGCGAAAACATTCCAAAGTTGTACTGTTCATCTAGCCAGCAGTGCTAAGCACATTGATGTAATGGAGTCATGAAGCACAAGTCGAAAGTTGAGGTTTATCGAAAAATTCGAGTTTTTAAAAACTCATCTGTTCTTAGCAGCAACATGTTTAGCATTGTTGTTTTAGATGTTCAGTACAACTTTGGAAGGCTTTCGTTGATCTCGAAGAAAGAAAAGCGACTTTGAAGAAAAGACGGTCGGCCACCGGGGATTATCAGGAGATCATACAAAATGCTAGAAAATGCGGCTTGCACATGTTCTTGCTCCGATTCAATATGTTCTTAGTGAAGGATGTTAGGAATACTTACGAATAGACAGACAGCGTGAAATCAGATACCTTGAACTTCAAAGATATGAAGCTTTCTTTCTAAGCTGCGATCTCTTCCCCAGTGGAGATGTTAATGGATGCTGCCCTAAGAGTCTAATTTAGTGTTCGTCAAATTAGACTGATGGCATATAGATGAAGTTAGCAAAAACAACTTCAAAGGAAACGCAGTATAGACGATAAAACTTTTAAATGACGCTGACGCCATTATTTCTATTACTTTTCATTCAAAGCAACAGAAATGGTAGAGCACCTGATGTAGGCTTATTATGTTCACGTCTTTCAGAGGCCGACTCTACTTTCATCTGCTACTCCCATTTGCTTGTCAAGCGCCATATGTCTCGTAAGTTTGTCAGTTATGCTTTGTATAGTGTGCAAGGAGGCATCTGTACGTATTCAACCAGAACATGGTTGTACAAACCCAGGTTTGACACTTTGAGCAGCTTGAAATGTATGATCATGTTGGTTGTGATTAAGCTTCAGTGAGGACCCTCGCAATCCTATGAAATAATTGATAATTGAGATTTGATGAGTCCTACTCTAAATCCACTGAATGGAGAATTAACACGTTTCGGACCGCGAAATCGCGCGCGGCGAAAAATAATGCACTTTCGGCCGTTAGCCAGCAAAGGAACTATATTTCGCAGATTGTGGACTACATCTGTAATCAGCAGGCTAGATAAGCTTCACAGCCAAAGTTCCGAGTGAATTCGAAGCGTTTGAATTTTGTCGCTTGAGAGGGACTTTTGTGCTTTTTTGAAAGATAGGAGCAAGAACTCAGTTTCAAATAGTATCTAAAAGTATCTATGCTGTACGCTGTACTCGTCACTATTGAAACTATGGTTTATCTCTTTGAAATCGGAGCAAAGAAAAGTTGCGACGTCGCACGCGTCGTTCGCGTTGCCGCACTTCGTTGCAACTGTTGTTCGATTTGTCCTTATATCTCGTAAACAAATATCGGAGGCAGAGCTCTACAGAGTCATTTGAAAAGTAAGAGCTTAGACCTTTGATTCAATAACTTCGGACTTAAAGAAAACCTCCTGCAAACGTCAGAAAGAACATTCAAAGCAGCGTGCTGCACCATGTGCAGCACCGGTCCGAAACGTGTTAACAAGATGACCGTGCTATGCTTTACATAATCCAACCGTCTCTCGACACCAATTATGGTCATCTTCTGGGAAGGCAGGTCAATAGTGAGATGCTTTGCTAAATAGCGAAAGAGTGGAATGTGCCTTATACGATGTATCACCAATACCGAAAAAGCTTCTTGCATATAATAAGAACTAAAACAAACTAACTTCTGATCGGTGAAGCACAAGTACTGGAGAACTTCCGCCTTATCAGAAGGGCATGTTCGGACTGTGCAACCTATTTTAGAGGCTTTAGCACGCATCAGCTGAAAGTTGGATTTATGACATCTACGAAGGGACCTTCATGCAAATGAGCATACATTGGCATAAAAAAGCAATTTTTCATCGTCGTCCGTGTACTCCACAGGTTCGTTCGTTTTGAAGGAGGAGAAACCATACTTATTGATTCTTTTTGATTGAACCCTCAGAAGACATGGCAAATCCTCATTATCGGAGGCTCGCAAATCGTTACCAGTGAAGTCTCTAAAAGATTTCGTTGAATAAAGACGGTCGCAAAGATCAGTAACATTGCACCATTACCAGAGAGCAAAATAGCATTCCTGTGAAATAAAAAACCTTCAGCTCTGACGTGACATAGAAAGAGAAACCGCTTTCTGCTCAGAGAAAGAGAAAACCTTCAAATCACACACCCGTAATAGAAATATCCCTTATCAGGTTTCTTTGATAATGTATTGTCACAATCCAATGAGTCCAGAAAAAGCTTGGCTTTACGTTCGAGGTCGCAGTCATATGCCTAAAGCAGTGCAACACAACCGGTACTATATGTAATAAATACTTGCTATGATCAGCGTGAGTACCACAATCATTTTTGCGAAGACACATGATTGTTTATATTCAGTACCTCGCGGAGACCGATTATAAGGCTAAAGGCTAAAGCCCGCCAATTATTTACCTTTATTTTTTCATTTAAATTTTTTATGCGTATTCACTTCCGGCTATGCTTTTTTTCTTGCATCATAAATCCTTGGCAACACAATTAGATTATAAGTCAACAATCTCAGAACTTGTTGCAGTGGGTATTCGTGCAGGTCATATTTTAAATATCATTGCTAATAGGAGAGCTCACCAATTTTTTCATGTTCTTGGCTGGAGGGAGTACTGAATCCTCGTCATTTCCATTAGATTGCAATCCTTTAGCCAATTTCGTGCGTTGATCATTTAAGGATGAGAGTAGTAAATTGACGTCATTCTGCGTCACCGCGCCATTTTTACAGTACGCAGCATCAAGTGTGTCAATTTCACCTTAAGAGAAGTATGTAACATTTGATTCAACTGGCTTGGCGACTGGAACGCAAGGCTTCGTGAATCAATTGAGGCTAAGTAATGATCAGAGAGCACGCGCGCAGGAGAGACGCAGACTGCGTTGCGGACGCGAGCGGCCTTAATTAGGTCACAAAGGCCCGCCCTCCGGTCGCCAAGCCAGTTGAGTCAAAGGTTATGTGAGAGGGACGACACTTTCTTCTGACTAAAGAAAGGAAAGCAAAGCAGAACATGAGCTTTAGCCGCTTGCGCGTCTAACTTGTGTTGATTGTGAGGATAGGCTTTGACATGCCGTAAAGGAGGTCACTTACAGTCAAAAGCTTTTTTTTTCAACCATGATGGCGATCATGAGAAAGAGGAAATGTGTGATCTGATTTGACAGTTATATCATGCTCATTAAAAAGTACAAATAAGTACATAGATCATCGCTGTATAAATTCTCTTATACCCTGTGAATTCATGTATCAAGCACAATGCGAGAAAAATGAGTTTTTGATATGCGACCGACAACCCAGCCTTGAACATCCTGTGACACTCCGTCTAATATCGTACAAGTCTTCTTCTGTTAATACATTAAGAGTCCACTCACCTACTCGAGTTCATATAACAATAGAACAATGGCGTACCGAAGGGGGGAGGGCGCCCGTCCGAGAATGGGTCGCGAAGTTTTTGAAAGTTACCTACATGAGTTATAAGATGTGCAATTGACTTGTTTATGTTGTAAATAATTGCAAAATAATTCAATTTAGCCCCTTAAAAAGATTTTTTCGGGGGCGTGGCTGGCGCCATTCCTCTTTTTTCTCGAATTTTGGGGTTGGGGGGAGATTATCAAAAAAAAAATTTCGGGATGCGTGACTAACGCCACGTACCTTCATCAGAAAAAGATTTCTGTCGACTTCCTCCCCCCCCCCCCCCCCTCCTCCGAAAGGAAATCCTGGATACGCCACTGCACTAGAAGAACTTCATAGCGATTTTTTACTGCAAAGTGGAAATATGTGCCCCTTGGATTTGCTAAAAAAAAATGGCTTGTGAGGTGCTACATTCCCACATAAATCAATGAAATGACATGGTCTATTACTTAAATGTTACTAGCTGGAGCCCAGTGGATCCTCTTCTTCCCTGAGTACACCTTCCCGGTCCCAATCAAAAAATCTCAGATGCGCTGCCAGCCGCGCTGTGAGAATCAAAATTTCAAGTACTCCGAAATAACATAAAAATATCGATTGGACGGGAACTAGACAGAAAGTGATAAGCTAACAATGAAAAAAGACTCTTTTGCCGACGTTTCGTTCACTACCTAGTCAAAAGGTGCTAAAGGGAAACCTTTGTAGTCGAAGTGGGCTTCCCACATGACATCTATATCTAGACGCGTCTGTAAATGCTGATTTCAAATCTGCTTTCCATTCCTGCGGAAAACTTCCAAAAAGAAGTTAAGAGTGTTAGAAAGTCCAAATTCGTAATGCTATAAGTCGCAAAAAATTGGCGAAAAGCTGTGCAAAGAAAGCTGAAAGTAGGTGATCAAATTTGATCAAGTGAATTGGCTACAACGAAAATACAGGCTTTGGAGTTCGCATAGGTGTTTTTGTACAGCTTTTCGCTAATTTTACGCCATTAAACTTAACAAATTTAGATTTACAAGCACTCAGCTTCTTTCGGGGAGTTGTTCAGCAGAAACGGATGACAGTTTTGGAATCATCGTTCAATGCACTACAAAAGATTTGGGTCTCGTTTGGATAGGCCACTTTGACTGAAAGGCTTTTTTTTTTTTTTGTAAGAATGCTCGATGCAACAGCTAGTAGGGCAGACGATGTGCATCAGTGTCAAGAATCACGGCCTCTTTCTTGTTTCCTTTTCGCATTTGTCCACTCGAAAAATGGATTAAAAGGAGGAGGACAAATGGCTGTTAAGTAATTGTTGTAAACTGCGACAAGATCCACTACCATTGCCACACTGTTTCAATCCCATCTCTTTGAAAATTCATTCAGGGGAAGCAAGGCAGCATTCGTACTTCGAAAGTGCAAGGTTTATTAGGTGCAAGTAAAGTATTAAAGTTTTGTAACTGAGTTGACACTGCTGAATTCATGCAGAAAGCAAAGACGACAAGCTCTCGAAACATTCTAGACCTATCTTTTACTTTACTTGGCTTATCTGACCTAGCGCCCTGTCCCATGCAGAAGAACTCACCCTCCTCCGACGCAACCACCGCTGGTAGTATCAAGATGATCTGGAAAGTGATGTTGATCGCAGAGTTATAGATGTAAAATGAAATTTACCAAGATTATAAAGTATTTCAGCCTAAGCATTATGATTACTGGCTCACTGCTCTCCTTGTTTTTATATGCAAAGCACTTCAAAGAAGTCTGCCTCCTTTCATAATTGTGACGCCAGTTTGGCTACATGTTAATGCCAACATCTTGATGTTCTCGCAGTTTTAGTAGCAATGACTGATTTCATAAAATCGTGGGATAGATGAAACCTTTTAAAATGACGCCGATGTTTAGCTTAAACTAGAGTTGATAGCAATGTCGGTGCCGATTGAAGGAAAACAATGGCGAATATCGAAAACAAAACTCCTTGTTGCCCTTTCTTAAAAATTTCGGAGCGTGACTGAGACGTTGAGAATTTTGATAACACTTTCGCCTTGCGTCTTCCCCAAAAATTCAAATTTTTTTTTGAATATTGAGTTTTCTACAAAATTATTGAATTCCAAATGTTTGATTATTACGCACAAAACAGCAAAGGGATTCGCCAAAATAATTTAAAAGCTGCGAGGAATCGTTATCAACTTGTATATAAAATGGCTATAAAAAAAGTTCGTTTTTGCATGCTTATCTTCATAAGAAAATTTCATGTTGTTTCCTATCCATGAATCTTTATGGGGAAGTATCTTAAAGCTTCCTCTATCACATATCAAACTTTCAAGATCATGTATTCAGTAGAGGCAGTTACGCCTTAACGTGGCTAAATTTCCAGAGGCTTCATTCTTTGACCTCCTAAGCTCCGTTTTCATGCTGTAATGGATGTAGAGAACAGCAGTTTGGTAATTAAATACAGAGGAGATTTCCCTATATAGTGAATAGCAATGAAAATTATGAAGTGTCACTTTGAAAATCTTTTTTCAAAAAACCAAATTCTTTATATTTGCGCACGATGAGAAAATTGGGGTTTCTCACTTCTTTGCGGATTTTTTTCGTTGAAGACAAGTGCTACTCAAACAGAATTTATACTCCAATTTCCATTTAAGTGCTCTTTCCAAAGGTACCAAACACTGGACATGCCACTAAAACTCCATGTATTGAACCGCAGTAACAGAAGAAAGCGAACCCAAATGCATCGGCTCCAAAAACACGAAAGCACGAGTTGATTCCGTAGTAAGCAACATATCCACGCATGTTGGTTAAGCTCGTGGTAATCATAATTACCATTTCAGTGAAATAAAGAGCTGAAAGTTGTGTCTAGAACACATATTTTCTTCGTACTGCAGTTAGCTTCTTCACTCCTTCATTTTCCTATTCATTCCATTTCCGTGCTCAGCCACCTTTTTGATCTAGGATGCAGACGTTCTGTTTGGCTTCTTGAGATTCTATTTTTCGTTTTATTGTCACCGCACGATCTTATTTTGAGGCCAATCTAAGAGAATTATTTGGTGACAACAAAAGTTGAATTTTGGTCCCAAAATTCTAAGGACCTCTTTCTCATACTTTTTATGCTATCTATCAAGGTTTTGTTTGAAACGTCTGAGAGAGCTTTAGTAACCAGCAAATAAGGTGAACCTTATGCAAATAAAAACAAACTTTTCTTTCTTCAGTTGCTTCTATTTTGCTGGATGATAGATACTTTAAAAGCATATTCTGAAGAAATTGCAAAACACATATTGCTCCACACACCTCAAAATTTCCAAAATTTCAAATTTTAAAACTAGATTATTACTGCCACTAGTCTTACAAAGCAAATGAGCGATTTTTGCTCAAAAATATGAAGTATTTAAAATTATGGATACAACTGCTAGTATACGAACAGCTCAGCACTGCTTTGGCAAACACACGGTATTTCATTTCTCTACTTCTAACCGAGAGAATGCGTGAGCAAGTAAGCATTTTCATAAAATTCTCTTGAACTTAGCTGCAACTTTTCTCGAAATTTTCTCAATTTTGGCCTGTGGATTTTCTAGTTTTTACATACTTCGCGTAAATTAGAGAGTTTTTTATGCAAACTTTTGAGCATTACCTTGTTAAGCTAGCTTTGCTCCATTAAATGATAAATCAGAACTTAGGTTAAGAAGAATTATGAATTATCAGCATGTGGTTTTGGTGCAAGGCTTACGATCTATGTGATAACAAGTTGAGAAAGCGCATGCAAGATCAATTTTTTGGTGAAATAACGAGTTTTCCCGTTCAAGGCGTTTCCTGTTTCATCGCGTGTTTAACTGACGAACGCGGGCGGCACCCACGATCGTGCCACGGGAAACAAAAAAATGTAAATTTCGTACGTCACTGGTCTCAATAATAATGCATGTTATTCTGGATAGATAATGCGTGAACATTTCTAAGTTGGATATAGTCAGCACTTGTTCAGAATGCGCCAAATTATTGGATGCAAATCACTGCGGACAAACGTAAAAGAAAGGCTTAACTGGAAAAAAGCATACTTTTGCCTTTGTCTTTCTCACTTTGATAAACTGATCCAATCCAACTGATCTAAACTTGCCTCCCAAATCTCTACAAATTTACTCATACACTTGCTGAATGTTACGCCGAATGTGCGCAATCTGACACCGAAGCGCTTTGATTCAACAGAAAATGACGTATACTATACTCAAAACTTTTTTTAAAGAATGATGTGATGTTTTTTAATTTGTGTGGCTTGAGATTTACGGTGTGTAAAATTGATTTTTATATAATTGCTGCTCACGCGCATGTATAAATATTTACTAGATTCCATTTCTGATAAAAGTAAATTATCCTGCGTAATGGTACAAGGCTTATTTTACAATAACAGCGCATAATTTACAAATGTTTGGGTTCATTTAGGACAGAGCAGAAAAAGGTGGAAAGATTGACTCTTTTAGGACTAACTTGATATGATCAGCGTGAGTACTATAGATGGAGCGACCGAAAACTTTCGCCGAACGAATGAATATCGAATAATCGGCTATGGAAAAGTGTTCGAACGAACGAATATTATTCGATCTGTGGTTTTCAGATTATTCGAATTCGATTGTTCGAATAATGCTACATTTCAAAATTCGAATGAACGATATTCGAATAAATGGGGCTGCTCGAATATTTGACTATTCGAGTAATCGAATAATAACATATGGTTGATTATTCGACTATTCGAATTTTCGAATCATACCTGTCCGAATATTCGACTATTCGAGTAATCGAATAATAAAATATGGTTGAATATTCAACTGTTCGAATATTCGAATTATACCTGCCCGAATATTCGATCATTCGAATAACTCGAATGATCCAGCGCCTCAAACAATGCTGGTTTTTTTGTTGCAGTTTTCTGCTGATCGCTATATTCGATCTAGATGTTTGTAGCTGATAATTATATGCGTGGCAAGTGGTAAGGATGACTGGGTTATTGTCGCTTGGTCAGGGCTCCACCTAGGATTCAGAAGAATTCACTCAAAAGCATGTAGTTGAAGATGTTCATTTTCTTTTAAAATGGCTACTAAGCCTTACTCAGTAACCGTTTCAAGTCTGCATTTATTCTACCTCACAGAAGTTTCTTCCGAACCTACACAGAACCTTCTCCCAAAGCTAAAGATTCAAGATGGAAGACCTTTTAAAATAGGTGTGTAGCTGTTTGTAATTTATTCGTGATGGTCAGCATTGCATGAGTTCTAACAATAAGACTAGCACTGGAAGCACGAAGGCCTACAGCAATAGAATTAGTGAACCTCTGCAGCAGAGGTGACGCACTGTTGTCTACCAGTGGCGGACCGAGGGGGGGGGGGGCGGGGGGGGGGGGGGCGTCCCCCCCCCCCCCCCCGAGAATGGGTCGCGAAATTTCTGAAACTTACCTATATGGGTTGTAAAAATGTGCAAACGACTTGTTTGCACTTGAAAATAATTAAAATAATTTTTAAAATTTTTTAAAAATTCGTTTTAGCCTTATAAAGAATTTTTTTCGGGGGCCTTTAGGGGTCGGGGACCCGCAAAAATTTTGAGAAGCACCCCAAAAATTTTTTCGGAGTGCGTGGCTAACGCCACGCACCTTCTTTAGAAAAAAATTTTTTGTCGCGCGCCCCCCCCCCCCCCCGAAAAAAATTTCTCGGACCGCCACTGTTGTCTGCATATTACTTCTGTGCGCATCCAAATCCAGAAAAAGAAAAGTTATGGGATATCTGCATATGAGCTCCAATCTGATACTTGTCAGTTTCACAAATCTGTTGTAGGATTGAATTTTCACAAAGTTGTTTTAGTTGAATTTTTGAGGTTCGTACTTTTGTTGTAAGGAATCTTCCATATCTTTTTACTTAGGTTCAATATAATTATCTTTCAAACTATAGGCCTACTCGCAGTGTTATTCCTCTACGAACTTTGCAACATTCTAACTAGTTTTTTACGCCTCCTGACTATGAGGGCAACCGATATGAGTAAGGTGACTGACATACAGGCTGTCGCCACAAGTCAAGCGATTTTGCAAAGAAAAACTTTTGAGATGATTTATCCAAGCTTAGAGGACTCGATGCAATCATTTTTTGAGCGCATAATTAACGATGATGAGTCACCAAGAAGACAATCGTTGTTTCCGATTAGGTTCGCTGGGTGCTGGGAGAGGCTCATACCGTGTGTTCTGCACTGACATGTTAGACTTCAAGGTTCTGCAAGTGGTTGCGGCACAAGTAGAAAGTATAGGAAAATTTTATTTAAATTTGATTTACTTGAAGAAAGAACATAAAACAGTAAAGCAGCATTATTGAAAGTAAACAATTATTATTACAGATGACAGGCAATAATCACAAAGTGTCACAGTTCCCATCGACTTCGAGCACAGGAATTAAAGTCTGTATCAGTGGTTAGCATGACTCTAACATCAAGAAGTACGCTATCTGATTCTGTGCTTAACTACGTTTCGCACATTGCGGCACATTTGCCGGATGGTCGCAACGCAATAAGTCTGGATTGAATACTGTTAATGGCGGGCAGCTCATCTCCTCCCACTGATTCTTCGAGCATCGATAGAAGTACTGGCAATTGCTCTCATGTGGAATCAGTTGACCACTGTTTGCTTCCCGACAGTCTTTCATCTCTGTAATTTACAACATCATAACTTATAAGGTCTCCAGAATCCAACCCCAATATCTCTTTCCCATCTGCTGGAAATATATGTCCCTTGGTATTTGCTTTAAAAAAATGGCTTTTGAGGTGGTACTTCCCCACATAAATCAATGAAACGACAAGGGCTAATAGCTAAGGATTACTAGGTGGATCCCAGTGGATCCTTGCTCCTTCCCTAAGTACAACTCCCCGTCCCAACCAAAAACTTTTAGATGCGCTGCCTAGCCGCGTTGTAGGGATCAAAAATCCAAGTGCTCTGAAATAACATAACAATATCGATTGGACGGAAATCAGACTGAAAGTGGTAAGACGTTTCGTTTACTATCCAGTCAAAAGGTGCTAAAGGAAAACTTTTGTAGTCGAAGTGGCCTTCCCACATGACATCTATATCTAGACGCGTTTGTAAATGCTGATTTCAAAGCTGCTTTCCTTTCGTGCGGAAAACTTCCAGAAAGAAGTCAAAAGTGTTAAAAAGTCCAAATTCGTAATGCTGTAAGTCGCAAAAAATTGGCGAAAAGCTGTACAAGAAAAACTGAAAGTAGGTGATCAAATTTAATCAAGTAAATTGGCTACAACGAAAACACAGGCTTTGGAATCCGCATATGTGTTTTTGTACAGCTTTTCTCTAATTTTACGCCACTAGACTTGAGAAATTTAGATTTACACACACTCAGCTTCTTTCGGGGAGCTGTTCAGCAAAAACGGATGATAGATGAATCATCGTTTGATACACTACAAAGGAATTTGGGTCTCCCCCTTGGAAAGGCCACTTTGACTAAAAGGCTTCCTTGTAAGAATGCTCAGTGCAACAGCTAGCAGGGCAGACGAAGTGCAGCAGTGTCAAGAATCACAGCCTCTTTCTTATTTTTTCTCGCATTCGCTCCTCAAAGAGATTGAAAGTAGAAAAACAAATGGATGTCAAGTAGTTGTAGTAAACTGCGATAAGATTCACTAACATTGTCACATCCTTTCAGATCCTCATCTCTTTGAATACGCAGTCATGGGTCAAGCTTTCTTAGGTGCAGGTAAGGTACAATACCGCTCACATTTTTTGATTTTTATACATGTATGGACATGTCCATACATGTACATACATGTCCATACATTCGCGTCTATTTTTCAAAAAATGTGAGCGGTATTGTGTTAAAGTTTTGTAACTGACTTGACACTGCTGAAATCATGCAGAAAGCAAAAGCGACAGGCTCTCAAAATATTCTAAACCTATCTTTTACTTTACTTGGCTTATCTGACCTAGCGACCTTGTCCAAACCGAGTAGAACTCACCCTCCTCCAACGCAACCACTGCTGACAGTATCAAGAGGACCTGGAAAGTGATGATGATCGCAGAATTATAGATGAAAGATGAAACTTACCAAGATTGTAAAGTATTTCAGCCAAAGCATCATGATTATTGGCTCACTGCCCTCCTTCTTTTTATATGCAAGCACTCCAAAGAACTCTGCCACCCTTCATAAAAATGACGCTAGTTTGGCTACATGTTAATGCCAACATCTTGATATTCTCACAATTTCATCAGCACTGTCTTATTTTTAAAATCATGGAATAGATGGAATCTTTGAAAATGACGCCGATGTTTAGCTTGAACCGGGGGGTGATAGCAATATCGATGCTGGATGAAGGAAAACAATGGCGAATATCAACAACAAAGCTCCTTGTTGCCCTTTCATAGAAATTTCGGAACATGACTGAGACTTTGAGAATTTTGATAACACTTTCACCGTGCGCCTTCCCCAATAACTAAAAATCAATTTCGAATGTTGAGCTTTCTACAATATGGTTGAAATCCAAAGGTTTGAATATTACGCAGAAAACAGGAAAGGGTTCGCCGAAAAAATTCAAAAGCTGCGAGTAGGCCTATAGTTTGAAAGATAATTATATTGAACCTAAGTAAAAAGATATGGAAGATTCCTTACAACAAAAGTACGAACCTCAAAAATTCAACTAAAACAACTTTGTGAAAATTCAATCCTACAACAGATTTGTGAAACTGACAAGTATCAGATTGGAGCTCATATGCAGATATCCCATAACTTTTCTTTTTCTGGATTTGGATGCGCACAGAAGTAATATGCAGACAACAGTGGCGGTCCGAGAAATTTTTTTCGGGGGGGGGGGGGGGGCGCGCGACAAAAATTTTTTTCTAAAGAAGGTGCGTGGCGTTAGCCACGCACTCCGAAAAAATTTTTGGGGTGCTTCTCAAAATTTTTGCGGGTCCCCGACCCCTAAAGGCCCCCGAAAAAAATTCTTTATAAGGCTAAAACGAATTTTTAAAAAATTTTAAAAATTATTTTAATTATTTTCAAGTGCAAACAAGTCGTTTGCACATTTTTACAACCCATATAGGTAAGTTTCAGAAATTTCGCGACCCATTCTCGGGGGGGGGGGGGGGGACGCCCCCCCCCCCCCCCCGCCCCCCCCCCTCGGTCCGCCACTGGTAGACAACAGTGCGTCACCTCTGCTGCAGAGGTTCACTAATTCTATTGCTGTAGGCCTTCGTGCTTCCAGTGCTAGTCTTATTGTTAGAACTCATGCAATGCTGACCATCACGAATAAATTACAAACAGCTACACACCTATTTTAAAAGGTCTTCCATCTTGAATCTTTAGCTTTGGGAGAAGGTTCTGTGTAGGTTCGGAAGAAACTTCTGTGAGGTAGAATAAATGCAGACTTGAAACGGTTACTGAGTAAGGCTTAGTAGCCATTTTAAAAGAAAATGAACATCTTCAACTACATGCTTTTGAGTGAATTCTTCTGAATCCTAGGTGGAGCCCTGACCAAGCGACAATAACCCAGTCATCCTTACCACTTGCCACGCATATAATTATCAGCTACAAACATCTAGATCGAATATAGCGATCAGCAGAAAACTGCAACAAAAAAACCAGCATTGTTTGAGGCGCTGGATCATTCGAGTTATTCGAATGATCGAATATTCGGGCAGGTATAATTCGAATATTCGAACAGTTGAATATTCAACCATATTTTATTATTCGATTACTCGAATAGTCGAATATTCGGACAGGTATGATTCGAAAATTCGAATAGTCGAATAATCAACCATATGTTATTATTCGATTACTCGAATAGTCAAATATTCGAGCAGCCCCATTTATTCGAATATCGTTCATTCGAATTTTGAAATGTAGCATTATTCGAACAATCGAATTCGAATAATCTGAAAACCACAGATCGAATAATATTCGTTCGTTCGAACACTTTTCCATAGCCGATTATTCGATATTCATTCGTTCGGCGAAAGTTTTCGGTCGCTCCATCTATAGTACTCACGCTGATCATATCAAGTTAGTCCTAAAAGAGTCAATCTTTCCACCTTTTTCTGCTCTGTCCTAAATGAACCCAAACATTTGTAAATTATGCGCTGTTATTGTAAAATAAGCCTTGTACCATTACGCAGGATAATTTACTTTTATCAGAAATGGAATCTAGTAAATATTTATACATGCGCGTGAGCAGCAATTATATAAAAATCAATTTTACACACCGTAAATCTCAAGCCACACAAATTAAAAAACATCACATCATTCTTTAAAAAAAGTTTTGAGTATAGTATACGTCATTTTCTGTTGAATCAAAGCGCTTCGGTGTCAGATTGCGCACATTCGGCGTAACATTCAGCAAGTGTATGAGTAAATTTGTAGAGATTTGGGAGGCAAGTTTAGATCAGTTGGATTGGATCAGTTTATCAAAGTGAGAAAGACAAAGGCAAAAGTATGCTTTTTTCCAGTTAAGCCTTTCTTTTACGTTTGTCCGCAGTGATTTGCATCCAATAATTTGGCGCATTCTGAACAAGTGCTGACTATATCCAACTTAGAAATGTTCACGCATTATCTATCCAGAATAACATGCATTATTATTGAGACCAGTGACGTACGAAATTTACATTTTTTTGTTTCCCGTGGCACGATCGTGGGTGCCGCCCGCGTTCGTCAGTTAAACACGCGATGAAACAGGAAACGCCTTGAACGGGAAAACTCGTTATTTCACCAAAAAATTGATCTTGCATGCGCTTTCTCAACTTGTTATCACATAGATCGTAAGCCTTGCACCAAAACCACATGCTGATAATTCATAATTCTTCTTAACCTAAGTTCTGATTTATCATTTAATGGAGCAAAGCTAGCTTAACAAGGTAATGCTCAAAAGTTTGCATAAAAAACTCTCTAATTTACGCGAAGTATGTAAAAACTAGAAAATCCACAGGCCAAAATTGAGAAAATTTCGAGAAAAGTTGCAGCTAAGTTCAAGAGAATTTTATGAAAATGCTTACTTGCTCACGCATTCTCTCGGTTAGAAGTAGAGAAATGAAATACCGTGTGTTTGCCAAAGCAGTGCTGAGCTGTTCGTATACTAGCAGTTGTATCCATAATTTTAAATACTTCATATTTTTGAGCAAAAATCGCTCATTTGCTTTGTAAGACTAGTGGCAGTAATAATCTAGTTTTAAAATTTGAAATTTTGGAAATTTTGAGGTGTGTGGAGCAATATGTGTTTTGCAATTTCTTCAGAATATGCTTTTAAAGTATCTATCATCCAGCAAAATAGAAGCAACTGAAGAAAGAAAAGTTTGTTTTTATTTGCATAAGGTTCACCTTATTTGCTGGTTACTAAAGCTCTCTCAGACGTTTCAAACAAAACCTTGATAGATAGCATAAAAAGTATGAGAAAGAGGTCCTTAGAATTTTGGGACCAAAATTCAACTTTTGTTGTCACCAAATAATTCTCTTAGATTGGCCTCAAAATAAGATCGTGCGGTGACAATAAAACGAAAAATAGAATCTCAAGAAGCCAAACAGAACGTCTGCATCCTAGATCAAAAAGGTGGCTGAGCACGGAAATGGAATGAATAGGAAAATGAAGGAGTGAAGAAGCTAACTGCAGTACGAAGAAAATATGTGTTCTAGACACAACTTTCAGCTCTTTATTTCACTGAAATGGTAATTATGATTACCACGAGCTTAACCAACATGCGTGGATATGTTGCTTACTACGGAATCAACTCGTGCTTTCGTGTTTTTGGAGCCGATGCATTTGGGTTCGCTTTCTTCTGTTACTGCGGTTCAATACATGGAGTTTTAGTGGCATGTCCAGTGTTTGGTACCTTTGGAAAGAGCACTTAAATGGAAATTGGAGTATAAATTCTGTTTGAGTAGCACTTGTCTTCAACGAAAAAAATCCGCAAAGAAGTGAGAAACCCCAATTTTCTCATCGTGCGCAAATATAAAGAATTTGGTTTTTTGAAAAAAGATTTTCAAAGTGACACTTCATAATTTTCATTGCTATTCACTATATAGGGAAAATCTCCTCTGTATTTAATTACCAAACTGCTGTTCTCTACATCCATTACAGCATGAAAACGGAGCTTAGGAGGTCAAAGAATGAAGCCTCTGGAAATTTAGCCACGTTAAGGCGTAACTGCCTCTACTGAATACATGAT